TTGATCTTACTTTTGTACATGGTGTTAGGCAGAGTTCTGAGCCCATTTTTTTGCATGTAGCCTTCCAGTTTTGCCAGCACAATTTGTTAAAGAGGCTTTCCTTGCTCCACTTCACATCAAAGATTAGATGGTCATATATTTGGGGGGAGATGTCAGTATATTCAACCCTGTTCCATTGGTCTGCAGCTCTGCCTTTGTTCAAGTACCATGTTGTTTTAATTATTACTGCTTTGTAGTAGAGTTTGAAGTTAGGAAGGTTGATTCCTCCCATTTTCTTTTTCCCAAGAATTGCTTTAATTATTCGTGGGGGCTTATTGTTCCATATGAATTTCAGGAGGGTTTGCTCCATTTCCTTGAAGAATTTTATGGGTATCGTTATAGGGATCGCATTGAATTTGTACAATGCTTTGGGAAGTATTGTCATTTTGACAATGTTAATTCTCCTGATCCATGAGCCAGGGATATCTTTCCATTTTCTTGTGTCCTCTTTTATTTCCTGTAGTGTTTTGTAGTTTTCTTCGTAGAGGTTCTTTACTTCCTAAGTTAAGCTAATTCTTAGGTAGCTGATTTTCTGGGGCACAATTGTGAACGGGATTGTTTTTTTCATGTCACTTTCTTCTCTCTCACTATTTGCATATAGGAAAGCCATGAACTTTTGGGTATTGATTTTATAGCCTGCCACTTTATTATACAAGTCTATTGTTTCTAGGAGTTTTTTGTTAGACGTTTTAGGGTTCTTTTAGTATAGCATCATATCATTTGCAAATTGTGACAGCTTGATTTCTTCTTTTCCTGCCTGGATTCCCTTAAGATCTTTTTCTTACCTAATCACTATTGCAAGTACTTCTAGTACTATAATGAACAGCAGTGGAGAGAGTGGGCATCCTAGTCTCGTCCCTGATCTTAGAGGGAAGACTCTCAGTTTTTCCCTATTGAGGATGATGCTTGCTATAGTCTTGTGGTAGATGGCTTTAACTATATTGAAGAAAGTTTCCTCTATCCCCATTTTGGTGAAGGTTTTCATCATAAACAGGTGCTGAATCTTGTCAAATGCTTTCTCTGCATCTAATGATATGATCATATGGTTTTTATCTTTTCTTTTGTTGGTATAATGGATTATGTTGATTGATTTTCGAATGTTAAACCATCCTTGCATCCCCGGGATGAATCCCACTTGGTCATGGTGTATGATCTTTATGATGAGTTGTTGAATTCTATTTGCTAGTATTTTGTTGAGAATCTTCACATCTGTGTTTATCAGGGATATCGGCCTGTAGTTTTCTTTTCTTGTGGTGTCTTTGTTTCCTTTTAGTATGAGAGAGATATGGGCTTCATAGAAACTGTTTGGGAGAGTTTCTGTTTCTTCAATTTCCTGGAAAAGCTTGTGAAGAACTGGTAGTAGGTCCTCTTTAAATGTTTGGAAAAATTCATTAGTGAATCCGTCTGGACCTGGGCTTTTGTTTTTGGGAAGACTTTTGATTACAGTTTCAATTTCCTTGATGTGAATAGGTCTATTCAAGTACTCTAGATCTTCTCTATTCAGCCCTGGGAGATTATAGGAATCCAGGAATTTATCCATTTCTTCTAGGTTCTCTTGTTTCATGACATACAGACCTTCAAAGTAGTCTCTGATTATTTTTTGGATTTCTTTGGTTTCTGTTGTGATATCCCCTTCTCATTTCTGATTTGGTTTATTAGGGTTCTCTCTCTCTCTCTCTCTCTCTCTCTCTCTCTCTCTCTCTCTCTCTCTTTATTTTTGAGTGTTGCTAGTGGTTTATCTATCTTATTTATTTTCTCCAAGAACCAGATCTTGGTTTCATCCATCTTTTGGATTTTTTTTTTGTTTGTTTCCATGTCATTGATTTCTGCTCTAAGTTTTATGATCTCTTTCCTTCTGCTGATTTGGGCTCATTTTGTTTATCCTTTTCTAAGATCTTGAGCTGTGAAGTCAAGTTATTTATGTGGGCCCTTTCTTCCTTCCTGAGAAATGCATGCAGAGCTATAAATTTTCCCTTTAACATGGATTTATCTGCATCCCATAGGTTCTGGTAGCTTGTGTATTCATTCTCATTTGCTTCCAGGTATCTTTTGACTTTGTCCTTGACTTCCTTCCTAACCCACTTGTTGTTCAACATCGAGTTGTTTAATTTCCAGGTGTTTGATTTGGTTCTCCGTGTCTGTGTGTGATTCACTTCTATTCTCAGTGCATTGTGGTCTGAAAAGAAAAGAATCTTCCTGATTCTATTGAGGTATGTTTTGTGTCCTAGCACATGGTCTATTTTGGAAAATGTTCTGTGTGCACTGGAGAAAAAATGTGTATTCTTTCTTTTGGGAGTGTAAAGCCCTGTATAGGTCTATAAGCCCTTTCTCTTCTATTTCTTCTTTCAAAGTCAATGTTTCCTTGCTGAGTTTTGTTTTTATTGATCTACTCAGAGGTGATAAGGCGATGTTGAAGTCTCTGGCTACTATTGTGCTGCTAGTAATGCCCTCCTTAAAATCTGTTTAGCAGTTGTTTTAAATATTTAGCTGTTCCCTATTAGGTGCGTATACATTTAAGAGTATGTTTTCTTCCTGTTGTACGTATCCCTTGATGAATAGAAAATAGCCTTTGCTGTTCCTTCTAATGTTTTTCAACCTGAAATTGATGTTGTTGGATACTAGTATGGCCACCCCAGCTTTTTTGAGGGAGCTGTATGCTTGCAGGATTGTTTTCCATCCTTTCATTTTGAGTCTATGTTTGCTCTGACTGTTGAGATGAGTTTCTTGTAGACAGCAGAATGTTGGGTTCTGTCTCTGAATCCATTTTGCCACTCTGTGTCTCTTGATTGGTGAATTTAGACCATTGACGTTGAGAGAGACTATTGTTATGGGCTTTTGTGGCATCTTTTTGTAAGGGTCTGTTGTGCTTGTAGGGTTTGTCTTGTCTTATAGTAGCCCCTTTAGCCCTTCTTCTAGGTTGGTTCTGAGTCTATGAAGTTCCTGAGCTGCTGTTTATCTAGAAAATAGTGTACTGTTTCTTCGAATTTGAGTGAGACTTTGGCCGGATAGAGTATTCTTGGTGAAGCATTCATTTCAGTGAGTTTTTTCACTATATCCCACCATTGCCTTTGGGCTTGGAGGGTTTCCTCTGATAGGTCTGCTGTGAATCTAAGGGGTGCTCCTTTGTATGTGATTTCCTTCTTTGACCTTGCTGCTTGCAGTATTGTGTCTCTATCCGTGGCATCCATCATTCTAACTATGATATGTCTTGGAGTGTTTTTGTCTCTTTTAGCTGGCACCCTTCAGGCTCCTTGAATCTTAATGTCTGCATTGTCGAGCTCTGGGAATTTTTCAGCAATGATTTGTTTAACCGTGGCTTTTTCATTGGGATTGTTTACCTGAGATTCTGGTACTCCAGTGATTCTAATGTTGTTCCTCTTGGAATCATCTCGTAGGACTCTAATTCGCTCTAGAGCTATTTTGAGGTCTCAACATTTTTTGTTGTTGCCTGTTGGCTTGGTGCAGCTGATCTTCCAGCTCACTGATTCTGTCTTCAACTGTGGTCATTCTACTGTTGAGGGCACAGGCTGAGTTTTTTTATTTCATCTACGGAATCTTTTATTCGTGACATTTCTGCTCTCATTTCTTCCCGTAATTTCTCGATTGTTTCTGTCATGTTACTGGATATCTGTCTGACTGTTTCATTGAGTTCATTGAACATCTTCATGACTTCATATCTGAATTCTTTCTGAGAGAGGTCCTTAAGGTGAGTAGCACCTACTGAGGCTTCTGGTGGGAATTTGCATTGTTTCTTCTTGTTGTTGTGTAGGTATGGGAACTGAGATGTTACACTATATTTCTTGGCATGATTAAAGTACCTGTGGCTGCGTGAGCGCTGGCCCGCTGAAAAGTAGACCACGCCTACTTCCACAAAAGCCACGCCCACTTCCGAAGAGGCCACGCCCCAACGGGAACCTGGTGTGTGGTGGGGTACTAGCTGGGAGGGGTAGAAAACCAGCACAGCGTTGGGGCCGAAGAGGAAGAGGCTCAGGGCTGCTTTTGTCCTAGGGTCTTAGAGGACTCCTGGGACGCTTGCACGGAGAAAGCCGAGTCCCGAGTTCAAATACTGGCGGGTTAACTGACCTGGGAGGGGAAGAAGACCGACACAGCATTGGGGTGGAAGAGGAAGCGCTATCATAGTTATTTTGATACTCAAGGTTTTCCTTGCTATCACAGAATCAGAGTTAAGAATCACAGTTGATCTTTTACGTATCAGTCTTATATCCTGAGTCTTTACTACACTCACCAAGTTCTTAACACACAGTTTCAGAACCCATAGCCTTTCTTCCCTTCATGGTTTTATAGGACTCTCTATGTACCTTGCTGAATAGGGCTATTGAAGGGCTAGAGAGACAGTATAACAGATAGGGCTTTGGCCTTGCATTCCACCTCCATCACCACATAGTGTCCCTGAGCGCCACCAGGAGTGGTCTCTGAGCACAGAGCCAGAATTAAGTCCTGGGCACTGCTAGGTTTGGTCCCCAAACTAACAAACATAAACAACAAAGAACACCGTTGTGAAAGGCATCAGATTGTGGAGTTTTTCTGACAATGCCCTGGTTGGACTCAGTACTTCCTCGAAGAGACTCTGGAGAATATTTTTCAACCTTGGACTTGGATAGCCATTCTTAGAAGACAAAAACTGTACTGTATCATCTTTTAAATCTAATATAAAAGTGAAGTTTTGCTTCACATTTTAGGATTGTATCTTCTCAGCACTTGTCTCAAGAGAATCAAAATCCTTACAGGCAATTTTAATCAGTTAGGAAACTACCTAAAGTGTATTGCCAAAAGAGAAAATTAAAAAATGTATCACTGTGTTTTTTTTATTTAAAGGTATATTAAATAGTGAATGATCTACTAGCCCATGAGTTCATTGAACAAGTTATTGAGCGTCTGTATACCAATTTTAATGTCAGTTTTGACAATCTGTAGATTATTTTTCTTATTTTGTTTTCTAGGTTGTTGACTGTTCTTGGGATGAAACAATAAAGATATATGATCCTGTTTGTCTCACTCTGCCTGCTTGAGATACCTTCCAGAGGCCAGACACAGGATACTGGTTGAAGAACTACTTCACAGGAAATAAATGAATAACATAGACATACTTTTCTATGATATATATGCTACAGATTTTACTCTGCGTTCAGTTTTTACGCAGCTGACAAATACTGCTTACTTTTTAAGCATGGTAAATAAGCCATACTTTTTAAAAACCTACAAAATTATTGATGTTATAGTATATCTTTTAGTATCTATTAAAGTGCAATCTCTGTATTGTTATATGGATTAAAATATAGGAGACCCAAGGTTTATGTAGTGATATATTTAATTTTTAAATGAGCATTATAAAGTAAAATGTAGTCATTGCTATTAATAAAAATAAACTGCATCTCTTGACTATTTGCATCCTAGCCACATTGCTTTTTCTAATGTGTATACACATGAATGTGATGATACATACACGCGTATGCACACATATATCTACACATATATGTGCATATATACTGGGTATGTTTGTGATTCTGAAATAGGGCTCTACGACTGGCTCAGCCCTTCTTGGAAAACAGTATGGACAATTCTCAAAAAACTAGAAATTGAGCTCCCATTTGACCCAGCAATCCCACTCCTGGGAATATATCTCATGGAGGCAAAAAAAGTATAGTCGAAGCAACATCTGCAGTTGTCTGTTCATTGCAGCACTGTTTACAATAGCTAGAATCTGGAAAAAAACCTGAGTGCCCAAGAACAGATGACTGGTTAAAGAAGCTTTGGTACATCTACACAATGGAATACTATGTAGCTGTCAGAAAAGATGAAGTCATGAAATTTATATACAAGTGGTACTACATGGAAAGTATCATGCTAAGTGAAATGAGTCAGAAAGAGAGGGACAGACATAGAAAGCTTGCATTCATCTGGGGAATATAAAGTAACAAAGTAGGAGACTAACACCCAAGAATCGCCAAGATAAGTTCCAGGAGGATTACTCCATGACTTTGAGGACAACCGCACATGCTAGGGGGAAAGGCAGCTCAGACAGAGAAGAGAGCACCAAATAAAGGGTGTTGGGAGGTTCCTCTCAGGATGGGAAATGCATGATGAGAGTAGACTATAGTCCGAACAAGATTGCCACTCAATATCTCTTTTGCAAACCACAGCACTCAAAAGGAGAGAGATAACAAAAGGGAATGCCCTGCCACAGTGGTAGGGTGGGATGGGGGATGGGGGGAAGGGGGTGGGAGGGATACTGGGACTGGTGGTGGTAGAGAATGGGCACTGGTGGAGGGATGGGTATTCGATCACTGTATAACTGAAACCCGAGCACAAAAATTTGTAAGTCTACAATTGTACCTCATGGTGTTTCACTAATAAAAATTGAAGGGAAAAAAATAGGGCTCTAATAAAGATTTAATTTATTCAGCATTTCTTCATTGATCATCTACTGCATGAAACTGGTTTTCTAAGGACTGGCACCATACTTTGGGAACATGGATTGCTGTGAGTTAAGAGCTTACATATTTTTAAAATGCATTCAAATCTCTTCAAACATTTTGCCCATTCAATCTACATTTATCCCTGCTCGTCTGCTATTAAATTTTTCTTGCCCTTCTACCTGCTGCTCTGCCTTTCCAGGTGAGGCTGCCTCTGCTGACATCATTGGGCCTAATCAGGAACTGGAGGCAGAGACTCTCTCTTCTTAGGAGGTCCTATCAGCTTCCGTGCCGAACCCCCACCATATAAACGTGCTCACACCACAGCTCCTGAAGTGCATAGGAAGATCTGCTCAACAAATTGCACGTTACTCACACTCTTCTTCCTGTCATTTGGTGAAGAAGGCAAAGAAGAAAGAGAGAAATCCATTCCTAACCCCTCAATATTTTCCACAGTATGTAACTACAAAGACATACCACTAGCACAGCACGAACACTGGAAACCAATGGGGAAAACACATAGAAACTCAACAAGCTCAACGAGTGAAAACAGTGTCACCAAAGACATAACACCAGTAAATTCTAAAAAATAAATGTTTTGGTCACACCATGATGAGGATGTTAATAAACTTAAATAATGGCACACGTAGTCAGCAAAGCACAAGAAAGTAAGAGTTGTAATGAAACAGAAATGTACTATAATCAGAAATGACCAAAATGAAGAACATGATAGGTAATATAAAAAGCTCTGAATAGCAGGATAACAGAAACTCTTATAAAAGATAAAACTGTTATAAAAGGATAAAAGATTAAGGAGCCCCAAGATGAGAAAACAACTAAAAAACAGTAGAAGATAAAAAATTGTCTGAAAAGAAATGAACAGCATAGCAGAGAACTATGGAATGAGTTCCAGAGGAGCAATATAATAAACATCGAAATTGGGAGCCAGAGTGATAGTACAGCAAGTAGGGCATTTTCCTTGCACACAGCCGACCTGGGTTCAATCCCTGGCATTCCATATAGACCCCCAAGCACCTTCAGGAGTAATTCCTTAGTGCAGGATTAACCCCTGAACATCACTGTTTGTGACCCAAAAAGCCAAAAATTAAAAAAGTCTCTGAAAAATAGGAAAACAAATGTGATGACAAAATAATAGTTAAAATATCAGTAAGAATTTTCCAGAGTTGAGGATTACAGGCACCAAGATCTAAGAAGCCCTAGTTGAAAATAGTCTCAACTGGGAAAATTCCAAGACCCATTGTGTTCAGAATGACAAAAGGCAGAGACAGAATACTGAAAGCAGTGAGATCAAAAAGAACTTACATAAAAAATGAAGCCGATAAGATATACAGCAGATCTATCAAGTGAAATTCTGCAAGCCAGAAGAATATGAAGGGATATAGTACAAAACTTCCAACAAAATGAAGACCTCACCAAGAATACTCTTTTCATCTAGATTATCATTCATATTTAAAGGAACCTGCACAGAGCTTTAGGGGCTTGCAGCAGCTCAGGGAATTCATAGCCTTGAAACAAGTTTTACCAGAAAAATCATTAAAAGAGCTTCTCTAAAGACCAGGACAAACTGCCCAAAATATAGTGTTGAGCATGTCACTGACCATGCCTATGATTGCTGTATTAGGAAAGATAGGTATATTTCTAGCTTGGTAAGGGATTTTACACATTTTTCAATAATGATGTAATCTCTTGTTTATATTGGTTAAAATCAGTAGTCAATCATCATAAGTTGACTTTTATTCATTTTATGACCGCTCCATTTGACATTCCTTTAAGTTGAACCGAGAAATATAAAATAAATTTGTTATATGCCTGCCAAAGGGGCCTGATGGGAGCTGTAAAGGAACCTAGGAACATTGGTGGAAGGAGAGAAGGCTTTGCTAGTGGCATTGGATTTAGGACATTGTATGCCTGAAATAACTATTATGAACTACTTTGTAAATCAGTGTCTCAATAAAATTTTTTTAAAAAACTGACCACTGGTTTAAAAAAATGACAAAAATTAACTACTTTTACTAACTTTTGAGAATCTAAATGAGAAACAAATATATGTAAATGGTCAGCAAGCTAGTATAGGGGTTAAGCATTTGCTTTGCTTGTAGTTGATCCTGGGTTGGAGCAATAGCATAGCGGGTAGTGTGTTTGCCTTGCATGCAGCCAACATGGCCAACTAGAGTTCGATTCCTCTGCCCCTCTCGGAGAGCCTGGCAAGCTACCAAGAGTATCTTGCCCACATGGCAAAGCCTAGCAAGCTCCCCGTGACATATTTGATATGCCAAACACAGTAACAACAAAGTCTCACAATGGAGACATTACTGGGCCCGCTCGAGAAAATCGATGAACAACGGGAGACAGTGACAGGACAGTGCTACAGTAGTTGATCCCAGTTTAATCCCTGGTACCACAGTCCCCAGAGCACTTCCAGGAATGACCTGTGGGCACAGAACTGGAGCACTACTGGACTTGGCTAAAAAATAAGTATATTTATGTGTGTGTATAAAATATGTCTTAAACTAACATTTTTTTAAAATTCCATTTTAAAACTTAAGATAGTTTTTACAGAGTACAAGAATAATTCATATAAAATTAAAAAGTGAAGCTTGAAAATCTAGGCAGCTAAGCAGCCCCTGAACTTAAACAAATATAAAACAGTATCTCTCATATATGGGGGATAACTTAAGATGGTAATAACAAATGGCCAAAGCCAACAGAATATGAGAACTGGTCTACAGAATGGAACTTACCAAGGCAGGGTGAATAGTGGGGACACTAAGAAAATGGTGGAGGAAAGTGGAAACTGGTAGAGAGTATAGTATTGGAACATTTACTTTTAGTCACTTGTTATCCTGTTGTTCATCGATTTGCTCGAGCAGTTGCCAGCAACGTCTCCATTCATCCCTGTTGTGTGCTAGTATTGCCCAATGGCATCTGCTCGCTCCAGGAACACGAAGAGCACCAAACCGTTCATTCAGAGTCTTAACAGAGAAGTCCAACCATCTTGTAGGTGGGCAACCAGGTGTTCTTTTGACATCCTGTGGAATCCATTTGGTAATGGCTCTAGTCCAGCAGTCATCTCCAAGTCGCATTACATGTCCGGCCCACCTGATTTTCGACACCTCGGCAAATGAAGCAGCATCCCTGATCTTCAATTGTCGATGGAGGTCGGAACTCCGGATTCCTTTTCTCACTTGAGTGAAGCGTGATACTCCAAGCATAGCTCTTTCGATTCCTCTTCGGGATACCCAAATAGCGTTCTCATCCTGTTTTCGTAGGGCCCAGGTCTCTGAGGCATATGCTAGTGCAGGAAGAATGGTGGAGTCAAAAAGATGTGCCCAGAGCCGGAGGTTCTTTGTCCTCTAAACAACTTCTTTGACACCCTTGAAGGTGTTCCACGCCGCTCTCTTCTTGCGCAGCTCAGGTGCCAGGTCGTTTGTCATGTTGAGTTCTCGACCTAGGTACACATAACTGCTGCATTCAGAGATGTTCATTCCATTGAGAGCAAATGGTACATCAGGGACTAGTATTGGAACATTGCATGTCTTAATCCCCATCATTTAAAATATTGTAAATCATGGTATCTCAAAATAGAAGGGCAACTCACTCATTCCTGGTAGAAAAATCAGCATTGGTCTACAACTGCTGGCTGATCTGTATCTGTTTGCCTCACCAAGTTTTCCCCCACTTGCTGTGGTGTAAAGCTTAGTGAGTTGAACACTTACTGAAGATGTTTTCTCTGTTATCAATTTTCATTTTTATTACATCCCTGCAATCAAGCCTGCTCAGTTTTTCCAAACAAGGAAATAATGACTTTAGAAAATAGGAATCAAAATATCCAGGAAGTAGCACTGTGCTCCCATTGTTTATTGATTTGCTCAAGCAGACCCACTAATATCTCCATTGTGAGACTTGTTGTTACAGTGTTTGGCATATTGAACACGTCACGGGTAGCTTGCC